AATATAAAATTATCTCTGAAAGGAGGAGGCAGACCTTTCATTTATCCACCTGATCTACATTCAGAATGTATTATTTATTTATTGACTAAGTTTGGGCTTTAACCGCTTGCCGCCTGCCATGTACTGCAGCAGAGCGGAAGCTACAGCCAAAGCGACGTACCTGTACATCGCTCTGGCTGTACCAACACAGGGGGGCGCGCAGTGCTCCCCCCTCGTGACTGCTGTGTTCAGCGGACCCAACTGACTGAAGATCCCAGTGAGCGGGACCCGGTAATCATGTGATCGCTATGCGATCACATGATCACAATGTAAGCAAAGCTGTTATGAATCAATCTCGTTCATAACAGCTCTGCTCTTCTTCCTAGCAAGCTGCGATTGGCCCACCGCTGTCACATGATACATGGAGCCAATCACAGCACCCTGTACCATGTGACCAACTCCAGCCAATCACAGATCATTTTCCTGAGCTGTCAAACCTTAACTCATTATGCACTGGCTTCTCAATCTATTTCAGTTGTGCCACTTGGTACACCCAGTGACCCGCAAACTTAAATCCTTTTCTGAGATTCAAAAAGCTACCCGTCTGTCATCTCACCATGTTTATGTTTATCTACAGATACGTCACTTTTTTTTCATCTAAAGCCTCCTCTCTAACCCTTGAGAAGCTTACTCCCTTTGAATGCATCTGCATTCAGGGTCCGTACCAATGGGGCATGTTTTCCTCTACTTATAAACTGCTTCAAGACGCCTGCCCCCTTACTATTGATACGCACCTCTATATGCGCAAATGGCCCCAAATCTTCAGTGATATTGCCTGAATCAATGGAGTAGGATTTGGGAGGCTGTCTCCAGATCTTCTATGTGTTGTAGTATATAAACAAAACACTTACTGATGTTTTGGTATAGGACTCCTGAGGTTCTCCATGCTTGCAAACCAAACGCTTCTCCTGCCTGCTTGCGATGTGGCGAGGAAACTTGCACTCTCTACCACATTTTTTGTACTTGCCAACACATTGCACCTTTTTAGAGAGAGGTCTTTAACCTTTTGCAACTCCTCATAAAGGCTCCTGTCGTATTTGAGCCCATCCATTTTCTATTGGGCCTACCTTTTGCAGGCCTCTCCAAATTTGCCAGGAAACTATCCTCCCATGTTTTAACAGCAGCCAGGAGAACCATTCCCATGCATTGGCTTTCTACTACGCACCTCACCACGATCAGAATGAGAGAAAAGGTTATAGCAGAAATGATAGCTAATTCACTGTTATGTACTGACATTGTATGTACCTATATACCTCTCATCAATGAGCCTCTTTCTTTCTTTGTTTTTTATTGCTTATTTCACGATTTATGCAACTCCGTTTGTTGTAAACATTTTGAACACCAATAAAAAGTAAATTAAAAAAAAAAAAAAAAAAAAAACTTAACTCATTCATGACAGTTCATGAATGAGTTAGGTTCATGACAGCAAGCTTTGCATTGCAGGAGAAATGATCTTTATTTCTCCTGCAAAGCAAAGTGTAAAAAAAAAAAAAAATTCATAATTACACCCCCCCACGGTAGTACAATGTGACTATGGCAACATTTGTACTATTCTGATAAAAGTATTAAAAAAAAAAAATAATAATAATAATAATAAAAATGTAAAAAAAAAAAAGTAATCAAATGCCATATTAAGAATTTTTTTAAACATTTTGTTTAAGAATTTTTTGTTTCATTTTTCTAACTACTTGGCATTTTGCGGGCAAGCAGCAGCTCTTGCCAAAGCGATGTAAACTTGCTTCATTTCCTATTTTGGGGGGTGTGAACGCACCTGTGCCCCCTTGCTAGACCCCCCTCCCTCCCGTTGGTCCAGGGAGAGAAGAAAGAAGATGGCACCGGGTAAAAGCACTACATTTTACACACACACACACACACACACACACACACACACACACACACATTAGCACATTTAACCCTTTGATCACCCTGTCACCCAACCAGTGCCATTAGTACAGTGTCAGTATATAGAATTTTTAATTGATCACTGTATTACTGCCACTGGTGACGTCAGATAGCATCAGGGTCAGTAAGCGCCCCTCCCAGCCATTTGTAAATTGGGAAATCATCTCATCACACCGATCTTGGTGAGATTAGATAATGTAAGGGCAGAGGAGATATCTAGAGTCGGATAGACCCCAGATTTCTCAAAAAAGAATATATGACAATGCCCATTGAAGTTATAGGGGATATTTGCATTCCTTGTGAAAGCATTAAAAGTGATAAAAAAAAAAAAAAATTAAAAAGGGACAGTGTAAAAATAATAAAAAAAACAAAAAAAAAAAAAAAAACCCCCCCCAAAAAAAAGCACCCTCGCCTCCCCATGCGTGCGTTGACCTGTGCCGGTATGTAAACAGTGGTTGCACCATGCATGTGAGGTATCACTATGAACGTCAGATCAAGCGCAGTAATTCTAGCACTAGAACTCCTCTGTAAATCTAAAATGGTAGCTTGGAAAGGCTTTTAAAGCATTGCCTATGGATATTAAAAATGTATGCAGTTTGTCGCCATTGCAGGGGCATGTTTGGTATCTATTTACTCGGCATACCACGCATCATCTTTTATATTTTCCCAAATAATTGGCCAACATATTGTGCTTTTGTGCATTAAAAGTAAAAAAAAAAAGTGCATTTTTTAAAAAACTTTTTAAAAGTTTGAAAAATCGCTGTGGAAATACTGTGTGACGCAAAAAATGTCAACACCCACCATTTTATTCTGTAGGGCCTCTGCTTCAAAAAAAAAAATAATGTTTAGGGGTTCAAAGTATTTTTCTAGCAAAAAAAATGTTTTTTCATGTAAACAAAAAGTGTCAGAAAATGCTTGGTCTTCAAGAGTAGGTGATGTGTGGCATAAGCTTCTAATGTTTGCCCTGAAATGTCAGGATAGAAGCAACCCTCCAAATGACCCCTTTTTGGAAAGTAAACACTCCAATGTATTTGCTAAGTGGCATAGTGAGTATGCTGAAGATCTCATTTGTTGCCATGTTTTTGGAAAATGAAGAAAATTAAAAAATATTTTTTTTCCTTCCTCTTTTTCAAAACCCGGTGACAAAAATGATATCTGTAAAATACTCACCATGCCACTTATCAAATTCCTTGGGGTGTCTACTTTCCAAAAAGGGGTAATTTGAAGGGGTGTTTGTACTATCCTGGCATTTTAGAGTCCCGGAAACTGTGATAGGTAGTGGGGGAAGTGATATGAGGAAATATGCCCTTCTTAAGCCTGGTGGTTTATACTGCATTGGCATTTTAGCACCTCAAGAAATGTGATAGGCAGTCAGAAAGTAAAAGATACGTAAATTTCAATATATATACCATAGTTTGTATATTATTGGGTTTTTTTATTCCAAATTTTTGGTCTTTTTCTGTTTATAGTGCAAAAGTAAAAACCACAGAGGTGATCAAATACCATCAAAGGAAATCTTTATTTGTGTAGAAAAAAGTACATAAATTTTATTTGGGTACAGCAATGCACGACCGCGCAATTACAGGGGAAATAGCACAGTGTTGCACAGCAAAAAATGGCCTGGTCAGGAAAGGGGGTAAATCCTCTGGAGGGAAAGTTGTTAAAAAGAAGGAAACTGGGAAGAAAGGAAGAAGGTGATTGCTTATAGGTAGGCGAGTATTCTAATGGTTTATGTGACAGAAAGTATGTAAATTGGTTTAAGAAAAAATATATTTTTATACTGTATATATAAATAATATGGCTTGGCCTTCACTTAAATTCTCTAACACAATCACAAATCACTAGTGTGAGAAGGAAAAAAAAGGAGACTGCAGTAAGTAATGGCAATCATAAACTACCTCTAACCAAATTAACACGTTAAACTAAAATCCTATAAGTAGCTACAGTGCCTTGAAAAAGTATTCATACCCCTTGAAATTTTCTCTAAAGGCTTCATAGAACAGCTGTATTTATACTGAAGGCAATTGGTTCCACTAGATTTTAGGGGTATCAGAATAAAGTGGCTGAATACAAATGCATGCCACACTTTTCAGATATTTGTAAAAAATTTTGAAAACCATTTATCATTTTCCTTCCACTTCACAATTATGTGCCACTTTGTGTTAGTCTATCACACAAAATCTTAATAAAACACATTTACGTTCTTAGTTGTAACATGACAAAATGTGGGAAATTTCAAGGGGTATGAATACATTTTCAAAGCATTGTATATACCTTACTGACTCTTTTTTTTTTTTTTTTTTTTTTTTAAACAGTTTTTTGTATTTTAATACTAAACAATCCTAATTGTGAACCCTATGCCAATTTTAAAGTCACTAATCAAAATTAGAAGAATAAAATGATACAGAAGGCTGTGTTAAAGCGAGTTCTACTCACTCTGTAAAAAAAATAAAAGTCAGCAGCTACAGAAACTGTAGCTGGTGAGTTTTAAAAAAACAGCCATTCACCTCTCCCTCGGTCCCGCGTTGCCCCCGCCACAGCCCATTTCACCGGCCGTCCTGTATTCCAGGTGCCGGCATCTTCAGTGTGGGCACCCGGCTGTGACAGCTTGCAGCTTCACAGACAGGTGCCCACTGCGCATGCGCAAGTAGCGCTGCGTTTTCCTGAATGGCTCGTCTTCTAGGACCTGTCACGTGTCCCACAAGACTTCAGGAAGGAAGGGTAGGAGGACAACTTCCGTTTCTGATCGCCTACGCAATCGCAGCGAAATGGGAGCAGGTACCTGTCAAAATCGGGTACCCGTCGCTCCCCCACCCCCCAAAGGTGCCAATCCTTCATGGGGAGCGGGAGCCCAATCTTTAAAGCGGAACTTCCCCTTTAGGGTGGAACTCCACTTTAATGTGTAACCTAATTTATCTTAATATTTTGAGATTAGGGAACTGTATAGACTGTCACCATACCTGCATGCTTTTATACTGATCCTGAAGGCTGGATACATCATGTGATCTTGGTCTTCCCTGGTGCTCCTGCACAGCCTTTTCTGTTAACTCTGCCCATGA